AGAAACGCCTAATTTCAGAATTTATTTTTACAGTTTTTCTTATGAGATCACTGTGTCTATTTATGTGAGCCCCTATTTGGGAACAGTATGAAATATATCAACAGATGCTTTTGACTTGATTACTTCACTAAGAATAATCTAGCATTTTTGTCCTTCTATAAATACATGACAATTTTGATAAAAGAGTATTGATGGAACAATTTCCTAAGTATCGGGGGAATTTGTGCACAGATTATTTACGTCAGCTCTCCCTGTTGATTTATTTACGCAAGATATAAAAAGACTCCAGAATTAATAAAATAAATACTCAAGAGTCATAATCCTCCCACAGTTATTCATTCAGGGAGCAGGAGGTACAGTAAAACACTGAATTTCACAACAGCACGAAAAGGGTAGCCACTAGCTTGTTTCACCTACTAAAATGACATCTACTATACATGTCCATGACAATTAATACGTGGGCTTTTCTGGTCAGATTGTGCCATCATTCCTTCTGTTATTTCAGTTATTAACTATCATCCTGTCAAGCAGATGTTTCTAATCACCCTCTTTCTTCTTCAGCTGTGTAACTGACGTGTGCGCTTCCACCAATATCCAATATCCTGTGCCTATCCCACAGAGCAAAGCACAAGCCAGCCTTCAGGCATCAACTCATCCACTACTGAATTGACAGACTTGTGTTTGAAGGGTTTCTCAGCTCTCCTTGACCTAATTAAGGGAGTTTAAACTGCCAAAACAATTCAGTGTCATTTACAATAGTCACTTTTATTCTTACAAAACTTGTACTCTCAAAATCCAGAGGGTCGTTTTTCATTCTCCTTCAAATCTTGTCAGTGGGTTACCCAAAATTTCCAACAGCTGCCATGAAAGGTACAGGACCCCACACCACTACGTACCAAATTAAAAGCTGTTCCCCACCAGAGACTGCAGTGATTTCCTGCACTCCAATACCACCAAAACGAGACACACAACCAGGAATCAGCTGAAAACTGAGGTTCTTTCTTGTCCACGTCAATGCACAAAATCCAATTAGGGAAGAACAATGCCAAGCTATTATATGATAACTGCAGGAGTGTCAGCATCAAATACTGACAGCTACAGTATGAGCCATTAATGACTGCTGACAGGTTTATGGTAGATAGATGGGCCTGAATGTCCAAGTTCCTTCACAATTCTAAGAGTGTCTTCCCTCTTATATTAGCACTTTTGTGTGTACATTACCTTTCACTTGCAAACCCATCAACACACATTTCTTGTGCTTGTGTTGTCACACAACACCTTCTGTTATTTCACACTTAACAGAAATAAAGTGGAGCACTAACATAGGACTAATATTTTCCCATGACCTGCCTCTCATAGGTACTGTATAGCCTCTCATGATAGTGAAACCAGCTACTTGGGAAGCACTGCTTAACAAATAATAAAGTAATTAGTCAAAAGACAGCTGTTTCAGTACGTCTGTTTTCCTTTTAAAGCTTAACATTGATCTTCATGTGATGAGTTACAGTACCTATTGAACCTGGTGAATACTACCTCCCAGTGCTGAAGTCCTGGGTTCAATAATGGACTTGGGGTACAATCTGCATGGAGTTTGTACAGTATGTTCTCCCCATGTTTGCGATAATTTCCTTCAGGTGCTACGGTTTCTTCCCAGAGTCCAAAGATATACTGTAGGCAGGAATACTAGCCCTGGTGTGAGTGTGTGTGCGCGTGCCTGTGTCTGTCCTGCGATGACTGGTATCCTGTCCTGGGTGTATCCTGTCTTGTGCCCGTTGATGGTTGTGATAGGCTCCAGCTCCCCCACCACCTCTTTTTGGATAAAGCGGTTGGAAAATGGATGGATGAAAGGAAAAACTGAAGGCAATTACAGCCATTCTAGATGATAACACCTATCTTTCCATGTAAAAAAAAAAACCTTTAAAAATATATTGAACATACAGTAGTACCTACTATCAATACCTTAAATTGGAAATTCTAATTTCAAGAGCATGAAGCCGTCTAATAAAGGTGTAGACAGCTCAGCTTCTTCTAAAATCTCCATCTCTCTGTTAGATTAAAGGGCAACAAAACAATTTGGAATGTCATTTTGAATCAATCAAATTTAAAATGTATTTTTAAAAAGTACCGTAACTGTATTGAAGTGACCAGAAACATGTTAGAAAACTGCATCCCTGCCCTGTGCATTGCCCAGTGACCTCCACTGTTACTTTGTAAAAATGAGCCATGTTGTTTCTATGAAATGTATTGTAATGTTTGTATCAATACAAAATCAATTGATTGTATTTCATTAATGTAACAAGTGATCTTCTAGGGATAAAATGCTCACTGTTGCCCACAATAGGACATCATTCATTACTTTTACAAACAAAATAATCATAGGATTGGTTTTGTTATGTTATGTTGTTACTGTATGTCTTACAAGCAGGTGAATCAGGATTCTGTGACATATGATTACTGTACGTACATTCAGCAATTGTAGAGACGCTTTGTAAAGGTGTCCTCAGTAAATCAGGTTAAATCAACATTGCACATTTATCTGGCTGTGAGTACGTATGTGAAATTCAGGACAGAACACACACCTCAATGGTCTGACATAGAAATTGGCATAATTACTCGGCACATAAAAACACACATCCAGAAATGCATCTGACCTTTGGAGCCAGTGAAGATGTAAAGTACTCAGCTTGTTATCTAAAATACTTATAGGGAAGATAAGATTGTTCTTATTTGCCACGATTAGTTGAAAGAGATAAAATAAAGAGGTGAATACTACTGATCAGTTCTATTGTCAATTTAATGTGTAAAGTATGGGGTTTGATGCAGATGAACTGGTCAAGTCGTGAAGGTAATCTCAGAAATAAACCTTGCTGCTTTCCATTAATGGGAATTCACAGGAATCCTGCGTTTGATCTGAAGAGGTCTGTATTATTGAGCTCAGTGACATTACAGTGGAACCAAGCCCAAGCAATTTGTTAATGAAATGTATAGCATTTATGTACAAATATTCATCCGGGGCGAATGCTGCTGGTAAAATAAAGTGACATCACAGCTGTAAATCATTAGAATGATCTAATGATTTTGTAAAACCCGAATGAAAGATGTAAAAGAGGTTATGGTATATCAAAGAGAAGAAAGAAAAAAGTCACTTCCTAGCATATAAACAAGTGACAAATGGACACAGTTAAGTAATGTGATTTTTGTCCTATATCCCCAGAGCCTTGTGAAGACTCAGGACTCTCCGTGAGCTCTCAATTCTAGCGATATTTTTTTTTATGAGTGCATATGACAGGGTGTTTTTCTAGTAAGATACACTGATTAATAATTCTCTCATGACCTGACACTTCAAGAATCTGTAATACATTAAAAGCAATGGATATCTCCTATTTATTTTATTCATTTCTATGCCCTCTAGCTGTAAGAAAACTCAATGTACTGAAGTGTGCAGAATTAGGAAATTGCTAGTTTGATGTTCAATGATAGTCTTTATGCCACACACAAAATAAGCCCTGCCTTTTAGATTTTGCCAGCCTGTACCCAGAATATGTCTTATTTAAACTGCAACTACAAGGTTCCCAAGAGGAAAATGAACAGTACTGTAACCTCAGCTACACGTGGCAAAGCAAGACCATGTACAATATCTACTGTATAAGAGCCATGACATAAAACTTCTAAACAGACATGAGAATACAAACCACCCCTGAACAGCATTTTATCCACCACTTGCTGTGGCATTCAGATACTGCCACACCCTCCTGATGCAGGCTCCAGGAATGGGCTGCTGTTACACAGCCCAGGACCACCGATCTCATCCACACTCAATCGAACTCCTGTACTGCATAAACCAAGCACCTAATTTAATCTGAGCTCCTGATAGCAATTGGCAAGCGAAACAAAGAAAATAATGTATTGGATCTCCACAAGGCTCCGTCTGCCCTTAAGGACCTGCAGTTTAACCAGTGTATGTCATGCATGCTGATTTGTCTTTGATTCATATTGTATTTGATTCATTTGCATGCATGCTCGAATCGCATTGTTGTGAAGCGAAGCAGAACCCTAATTTGCTGTGAAATAATTTTTTGCTTATTCCTTAAAAAAACAGGTTTAGTTCCTGCTAATAATCACACAGCATCATCACGTTAGTCTATTCACTGTCAGGAGGAATCAGTGAATTGCTTGTTCATTTTAGATCTATTCTCCTTTGTCACTTTCCCAATTTTCTGCCTTGGCTTTTTATGGAGCTTCTCATGTGCCTTCTGTTTGTTTTGTTTTTTTTTGCTTTGATACAGAGATTAACTGAAATTGCCCTGAATAAAAAATGGGCAAGGCCCAGAATTTATTCTAATTCTTTTGATCCTAGGAATTTCTTTTAATCCCAAATAATGACTGCCACCTGGTGGAAATTGGGTGCACTGCATCAGAAACCTCAGCAGAGACCAGAGCTGTCGATGTCATGCATACACTTTATGTTAATACCCAGGAGGAACAGACTTGCATACTATACCCTACATGCCTTTGTACAGAAACAATCTTTATTTTGTACAGTTTCTACATTTTCCTTTGTAAGCAAACACACTAACTGTGCTTTGCAATGTCATTTATCTTTCCTTTCACCTATGGTACGCAATTACTCTACCTTTCTGGTTTGTTTCAAACAGATTATTACAAATTTCAATCATTTCTATTATATCCACTGAAATAAAAAAGGAACTGTTGGTTAGACTATATTGAACTGTCACAGGTTCATTTAATCTCCCTAAAAATATTTCTGCCCACTAATCGATACGTGACAGAACACGAGAGACTGATTCTAATTTACAGCACAGCTCTGCATAGCAGATCTGGTGTTTTTAGTCAAAATGCAATGAAGAACATTTTTTCAAGCAAAAATACGACCTGCAGAACCTATTAAAATAAATTCCATTAATTATATAGACTTTTATGATCTTTCTCCATATTTTAGATATGCTTTGACATGAGCAAAAGTTAAAAAGATTACTTACACCTCCCATTGTAATCCCATCAATAATGGCCACATATGGTTTCTGAAATGTACCTTCAAGAGACCAAAAATATGTAGTTAACACATAATTAAACCTTTTAATAAATTTAAGGCTAGAACACAAATATAAACACAAGTTTAATATTTTTAGAGGGTAATGATTAAAAACTGATTGTTTATCGTTACAGAAGCAAATTATTCGGAACAACAGCTGTCTGAACTGAAGATTCAGAAATCACAGATATATTGTACTGTATAGGCTGACATTTAGAAAAGTCCTGTGAGAGGTGTTTCTACAACACCACAACTGAAAAAAACATAATTATTAACTAATTTATATAGCGCCTTTAAAGGTGGCTTCTCAAAGCACTTTACAGAATAACAACAGCAACAACAACAATTAAAAATAAACAATGGTGATACTAAATACAGTAGGAGCAGAGGGGTAAAGAATGGAACCAGTTAGTAAAGGCTCTTCTAAAAAAGGTTTTGAGTCAGGATTTGAAGGAGTTTAGAGAAGGTGACTCTCTGATATCCTTGGGCAGAGAGTTCTAGAGCTTAGGGGCATAACAGGAGAAGGCTCTGTCACCCATAGAGTGTAGACAGGCTTGGGGGACAGTTAGGAGACCAGAATTAGAAGAGCGAAGGTTACGAGGTGGTGAGTAGGGCAATAATAGTTCAGACAGGTTACTGAGGTGCCCAGCCATGCACAGCCTTATAGGTGAGCATGAGGATTTTAAAGTTCGCACGGAATTTGGAAGGAATCCAGTGCAAGGGCTCCAGGATGGGGTAATGTGATCACTTGCACTAGACCTGGTCAGGATTCTGGCTGCCGAATTTTTAACATATTGGAGTTTGTTCAATGTGGATTTACAGTAGATACCCCAGCGAATAGAGCATTACAGTAGTCAATTCGGGAAAACACAAATGTGTTGATCAGCTTTTCAGCCACAGTTAGTGATAACATCGGCGTAGTCTAGTGATATTTATGAGGTGAAAGAAAGATGTTATAACAATATGCTGCATATGTGGGTCAAATGTTAAGCCTGAATCAAATATCACCGCAAGGTTTTTCAATTTAGACTGAAGCTCAAGTACAGTACCATCCACAGACAGGTTTACAGGATTGGCTTTACAAAGTTGATGGGGGTGCCAATAAGCATGACGTCAGTCTTGTCACAATTAAGATGTAGGAAATTTTGAGTCATTCATGTTTTTATGTCAGAGATGCAATTAGATAGAATAGAGACAGCCACATTAGTGTCAGGTTTGATATGGATTTATATTTGAGTATCATCAGCATATAAATGATAGTTAAGGCCATGTGATATTAAAAGCTGACCAAGTGGAAACATGTAAATGCTGAAAAGTAGCTAAATATGAAAAATATGGGCTAAATATGAAAAATACACTTTAAAATATTTCAGTGCAAGTGGCATATACAGTATTTACTTAAAAATGTATATTTCTGTATAAAGTGTTAATCAATAGCATCATATTGCATGCCAAGGTTACGAAAGCTCTGTTCAAACTCACTGCGGCCACAGGCCATTAAGTGTCTGTCTGAATTGATGTTAATGTCTTTCCAAAATATTTCCACATCATTGATTTTCCAACAGGCAAGCTCCTCTCAGGAATTCAGGATTTAAATAGACATTTTGAGAATATGGAGTAGAATGAGTTTTGATAAGCTAAAAAAAATTAAACAGGATGGAAAAGATAAACTCCTCTTCTCTTTATTTTATTACACTTAAAATTATTTAAATGTTAATTGGTAATGTATTATAATTCGAAACATTCAATTTTTACAAAAAGAAAACCTTTTTCTTTGTTCATGCTGTTACTGCACACTTCCTTTGAGAATTACATATAACAGTGTTTACGCATACTGTAAGTACATACCAATAGCATTGTTTAGAATATATTCTTCACGGAAGAAGTCTTGGGCCAGAGTGCCTCCAGACCTCCCTGCTTCTGTGACAGCTGGGAAGATAGAAAACGAGATAAGAAAGCCAGTTTATGCAACCTTCAAAATTAAAAGACTCCTGTTGAAAAAACAAAACCTGACTACAGTCAGATGTACGCAAATTTCAAGAGTTTTCCAGCCTTTTTTTCACTGAAAGGCACCAACATTTTTCAAGGCTGACTTACAAAACCTAATAGTAAAATGATAAAATGAGCCTTAAGCATGACACATGTGATTTGTGAAAGCCTTCTTTTTTAGTTTTTGTTCAAAAGACTCTGTTAGTTAAAGAGACATTAATATGATTTCAAGTTTAAAATGAATTATCTGAGCAAGGCTAGATCCTGTCAGTGCTAGAACATGAAGTCTTAACACTAAAGCAGGGGTTCGCAACTCTTGCCCAAGGGGAACCCCAGTTTTTAAGCACAGGATTACTGAATTCAATTTTCTGTTTGGGATCTATTTTTAAATTATATTTAATCTCTTAAAATGCTGAACAGGATTTGTCATTGGTATCAACCCAGTACTGATTTCTGAGTTTCAGAACTGCTTGAAATGTAACTAGCTGGACCGCTGCTGAAGGAAATAAGCACTCATAGTGGGAGTGACTGACATGCTGTCATCCTCACCTGCATCTGTTCATCATACAGGGATCACGTCAGTGGTCTTGTAGTCAGAAATAAGGGAAAGTATGCCAAGCTGAGATTTCTTAAAGTGCTATATGCTGGAACAAGTAAACCAAAAGACTAAAAAAGCAAGCACAGCAATTTAAGTTAAATCAATTAACGATGATTATTTAGACCTCATCTGGAATAAAAACCTGCAGACAAAGTGGTCCCTTAGACTCAGGGTTGGAAATCACCACACTGAATAACAAATCTCTAATGTCTGTTAACCAGTAGGTGTCCCTCTTCCCCCTGGACCAAACCAATTCCCCATCACGGTTTGATGGGCAAATAAGTAAGGCTAAATCCTGTCAGTGCTAGAACTTTAAGTCTTAACATTAAAGCAAGGGTTCCCAACTCTTGTCCAGGGGGAACCCCAGTGTCTTCTGGCTTTGACTCTGGTTGAGTTTTTAAGCACAGGATTACTGAACTCAATTTCCTGTTTGGGATCTATTTTTACATTTTATTTAATCTCTTAAAATGCTGAACAGGATTTATCATTGGTATCAACTGATTTAGCTTTAATTGTTAGCTGTTTAATTGTTAACCGCTTTAGCTGTTAATTGATTTAACTTTAGTTGCTGTGTTTGCTTTTTTAGTCTTTTGGTTCACTTGTTCCAGCATACAGCACTTTAAGAAATCTCAGCTCAGCTTACTTTCCCTTATTTGATGTGAGGGTGTCACAGATTATTAAATGAAATGTGAAACCAAAGTCTTGACTCCTTGGTCATTAAAGATCCCAAGACTGGGGATGTTAACCTTTGATGTCCTGGCTAAATCCCATTTTAGGCTTCCTCCATGTGGCTTGCACATTGTAAATGTCCCCCTTAAATCAATTAGTAAGGTGATTCCTCTTTTCTCTACTGCTGCTTATCAGTGTTCAATGAAGCAGATTCCCTACATGTGAAATGCCTTGAGATTGTTTGGGATTTAAATCATTATACCAATGGAATTGGTTTCTTGTGAAAATAACTGTTTTTCTTGACATTTATTAAATTAAAACACTTTCTTATCTGCACTTTGAAAGTTGGTGAGATTTCTATTGGTTTTACCCTAATACCAAAAATATGTGTACATTATCCCTCTAAGTTAATAATGCAGAAGTATGATGCAGTAATACAAACATAAAAAGACCAGTTATATTGAAATGAAAGTGAACTTCTGAAACACAAGATACACACATCTACACTGTAGAGCATTCCCTATAATCCTCTAACAAAGGAAAAAACAAAGTTGTGTAGCTTAGACAAAAAGTCACATTACCTTGAAGAGTGTGTGAAGCTTTTACAGTGCAATTTGAAGTATTAAGCCTCGATTGGTCAGACATGCATGGAAATAATAGCATTAAACTTAAATGCTTATTCTGTCTATAGATAATAAATCATATTTTGTAGCAGAAAGATCATGAAACATTTACCTCTGATATCACCACCAGCACAAAATGCCTTGCCTCCAACTCCTTTGATAATTACAATGCCTGTTTCTGGGTCCTTTTCCCACTTCTACATGCACAGGGCATAAGAACATAAGAAAAGTTACAAACAAAAGGAGGCCATTCAGCCCATGTAGCCCATTTGGTAGTCAGCAGCTTATTGATCCAAGGATCTCATCCAGCTGTTTCATGAAAGAAACCTCAAAAACATGGCAATGCAGCTTGTTCAATACTCCCACAACACTTTAAGGGTAAACTATTTGTAATACAGAAGCTCAATCATTTTAATATCTTAAAAATAGCCTTTAAGGCTATAAAACACGTACCACGGAACATATTTTATTTTATGACAGAATTTCCCTTTAATGCTGCATTCTAACACATTTTATGAAGACATTATCTTTACCAAAGCCCCCTTCTTTTCATGTCCCCTCAGAGTATTGCAATAAGCTAAATATGCAGCTGTCCTGCTTCCAATACCTGACTATAACACATAACAGTTCAGATGCACAGATTAGACAGCAGAGGGAATACATCCTGAGTAATTCAAAGACCAAATTGAGTATTTCTTCTGAATCTGTGCTAGTCATAAGATATTTACCCACCAGAAATAACACAACTATTTACATAAATTTGGAATTTACCAAAGTTGCTACCACTACATGTTATTGTAACAGGAGACATACTATATTGTATAATAATAACTTCAGTAATTTATTTTAGACATAGTTTTGGTCTAAAAGCGACTGAATTTGTAGAAGATTAATTTTGTTTAGAACAACTGTGATATAGCTGTGAAAATTGTAGAATTTAATAAGAAGACAATAACGCTAGTCCCAATAGAATATTTGATCCTGTATATTATTCCAGAGGAAGACAATGAACATCAATAGTATGCAAAACATCCTCTTTTACAAGATTAGGAAATCAGAATATAATGTAAAGAAACATCAGCCTGTCTTGAGAAATTCATGCTGTGAATTACAAAGGACTATTACTAGAGAAACACTTAAGTACATACTTTTTTTTCAGAATTTATTTTTTTTATATAAACAGTAATCCTTCAGTTTAATGGACTGATCGGGATTATTGCTAAATATCCATTCAATCACGAATTACATTTCTGCAGCCCAAAGAACACAATTGTAGGCTTTTTTAATTCCATATGCGTGACTTATTTTTTAACTATTTCAATCAATACAATCAATGAAAATTGTTCCTGAGCCTTTTTTATCCTTAATATACAAGCTCTTAATTTTATGTTAGAAATATACTAAATTTCTAAATGCATATTAAACACAAATAATACCAATTGTAAGCAACTGACCTACCCTATAGGATACCAGTGATATTCCTAAATTTTAAACCTGCCGAATGTAGTATTTATTTTTACCTCATTTTATTATTCGTGCACTTCCCTTCAACAAGTACATTAAAGTGTTTTAATGTACTTGTTAAAGACTCTTTTCTTTTCATTCTGTGTTAGAAGTGGAGAAAAATCTCCTTTCCAATTTCGTACTAATAAAAAAAATGGGAGGTTAGAGATTACAATAAGTCACAAAAACTAACAAAAAACACAGACTAAAAGTATATCAAACAAACCTTAAGCTGTGGGTATATCTGTCTGATCATAGACAAGTTGAGAGCATTCAAGGCCTTTGGTCTGTTGAGTGTTATAACACCAGCATTCCCCACTCTCTCCAACAGCACCTCTGCCTCTGACCCAGTGTGATTAGACATCTGTTAAAACAGCAGAATCAGGTATTACCCAGGTTACCCTCCAAACATCTGCACCATATCCCAAACAACTGGCCTGTCACGTTCAATTTGAACATATTAGAAGCATCTTAATAAAGCTTTTCATAATTAAATGAAAAACACAGAAATTACCAGCAATATATTTTTAACTCGCTCATATAATTACGGTATAAGATTTTTCTAACTTTATTTAATTTAAATACTGTTACTTCAGCTATTTTAATTCACAAAGAAAAACAACACCCAATAATTAAGTGTATTGAAGAATGTTTATTAAGTGTTTATTACTCCGCTTGGCTGAGGACCAACCTCCTGGCCATAGGACAAGGGGGCTAAGACCCCTGTGCAGAGTGAGGAGTGGCCGAGGGGTAGCTGCATATTTGGAAATGAGATGGAGAAAGTTTTGCAAAAGAAGAATGTGAAAGAGAGAATGAGCTTATTATATTCATTTATATTTTTCATAAACATTAGGCAAATCAGGAGTGTATGCTACTATCCCTCCAAAACTTGTGAACTCCATTTAATACCTTTAACAATATTGTTCCTTTTCACCTCACCACTTACTGTATCTTAATAAAACACTCCTACCAGTGTTTAGCATTTATTTCCTTATCTAGTTGACCTCCAAATGCAAGCAGAGTATTTGGTGATAATATAAAGTGTGTTGCAAAACTTAACTGCCTCCTCCACATACTGTATATGAATGTAGTATATAGGAAAAGCGTTCGGGTTTCCACAGATTCAATAATAATGTTCTACTGTATATGAATAAAGCCTTAATTTCATAGAAGAGAGATGCAGTATACAGTATATCATCTGTGGTAAAAAAAGGACTTATCATTATGCAGCTTATTCCCTGGTAACCTAATTACATATATTATGTGGACTAAAGATACAATAGGCCATCCCCTTTGGAAGTGTAAGTGAACCACAGTGGATATTAGGGCCTGGTAGAACTGTGATGGTCTGGATGTTACTTGAAGAAAACATTTTTCAAAACTATAGTAAATATACCACTTTACTTGCTCTGTTTAAATACTGTGCACAGGTGGATCATATAGTTTATTAAACACAAAAGCACATCAAGCACGCTGACCTCACACATCATTTAGAATTACAGTTTATAATTCTAATCGTCTAACTTCACAAAAAGTGCCAGTTCACTGTAGTTATTCAAACAAATGACAAAGAACCAAAATAGCATTTCAAAGAGCTTATCATGCTCATCAGCTTGATTTGTGGTCCTTGCCAGGGCACATCTGTTTTTCAGTGGCAATCTGCCCATGTTTCCTGTTTAACAGCCGGCAGAATATGCCTGCCTGAATTCAGTAAGACACAAGGAAAAAACTGGAAGCCGATCACATTATAAACTCTCCTATCTACCCCCAGCAGGCCTTCAGCTTGGGATGAAAAGTATTATTCTCTGAAAAGGAAAGTATCTTAAAATCATCCTCAAAACTGCCCAGTGGACAGTGCTTACCGCATGAAATAATGAAGAAAGTAAAATACTAAATACATTTTTTTGTTAAATGAGCCCACACCCTATTCAGTGATGGATCCTCCTTTACTGAGGCTCTGTAGTAAAACTGACAGGGCAGTTTCCAAGCTGAAAAAAAAAACGATTAAAGCACATTACCTTCCACAGTTGAAAAAGCACTTAACAGAATGTTCTGCCCAGTTTAACACAGAATCTGAACACTACAGACCTCTAAGAGGATTTGGAAAGGTCAGATAATGTTAACATAAGCCTGTTACCTTGTTTGTTTTAAAAAGGGTTAAACATCAGCTTGAGGAATTAGTAATAGTCACGAAATATGACATTTTTACACTATTTAAGAAATAAAATAAACAAATATACAATATGTGAGAACAAGGACCATCTCATCCAGAAATCCTAAATTAAAATTGACATGACCACAAATCTATTATGCAAGAGAGGTGTTTCTACACTTTTTCATGAAATAGAGTGTAGAGATCTCCCATAATTTAGTGTCCATTTCCACAACAGCAACAGCTTCATAGAACAGGTATTTTAAACTAACATATTGTGATTAGAATAATAATGGAAAATAAATTGGTTCCTTGATTGAGTTGTATTTGCATCCCCAGAATTTTCTTACACATAAAAGATAAACACAGACAAATAAAAAGATAACACTTTTTTATGTCTGCTGTATCTTCAAAAGAGCATGTTTTCATTGTCTGCTTTCTCTCACCGGTACGTAATTTCTGAAGACAAATTAGATTCAACTGTTTTTATACCCCGATCCCACGCCAGGAAGTGAGCTGCACATTCTCAGACCCGAAAGAAGGAAATGCTGAATATATGCCACAAAGCCAATGATTTGTTAAAATTTAGAAAATAAAAGCGGAGGTGGGACGAATCCCATTAGGCTGATTCTAATGGATTCGCAATGCACTGATCCAGCATTCCTGATTAGGAACACACTAACTCAGTAAGGAATACAAAGATGGGGGCAAATAAGGACAAATCCAAACAATCACCAGGTGTGGGTTCACCTTTTGCCTACAATTTACTAATATACAGAAGCTATGATTTAACATATTTACTGGTACATTTTGTATCTTAAAAAGATTCATATTTATAAAGGATAAAGTCCAGATAACATTCAGTTCCGAACTACAGGCATTAGCTCAAACTTACCAGATGGTGCTGTATTGCACGTACTCTTTGCAGTGGCCGTAGTCTGGAAAAGGCATCAAAAGATTAAAGTTAAACATAATACAGTAAGAGGCAGATTGCATTACCATTGGTACCAATAGGAGTTTCATGCTTCTCCATTACAGTTAATCCAAACAATGATTTAAGTTACAATACATTACAACACTGCAAATAAAAAGCAAAAGCACAATATTCCTAAATCTACACAGCTCCAAGTTCATTTTCATATGTTTTTAATTTGAAATATATTTATGTGAGACTGTAGCAAATTCAAGATGGCTAATCAAATGAACAGCAACATAGGTGACTTTGTTCTTAATCAATTAAAACTATTAAGAATAAGCTGCCAGTTTTGGGTAACGTGTTTACAAACTACTCCATGGGAAATTATATAGATGGATAACTTGCAAACAGTGTAAAATCCTTATCCATACGTGTGATATTCTTAAAAATAAGAACTATAATTATTAGCACAAGGAAGCAATTGAATACAAAATCAGTATTTGCTTCATCTGATTGGCAGCTGAGCGCAATGAACTCTCTGACAGTGTTCTAGAACAAATTTTAAAACACATGTTCCCATGACAGGATGGGGATTGCTAGGATACCCATCAGAACAAGCAGCTTTCTAATATTAGATTGATCATTACTATTCTCTTTCACAACTCTACAAACGAGAAGTTTAGAATAAGAAAGATGTTCATTTGCAAAATCCAGCTGATTTCTTATAATTGCTTTGGTTTAATGTATATCAGATGTATCCAACAGTAGACCCAGAAAGTCTCTCTCCTGCAAGATTTGTAAATCAATATTATTCCACCAATTTCTAAAGACTGTACTGTAAATACTTTTGTTGTAAACCATGTAGGTGATTATTTGGAATGAAAAACTGAGCTGTACAGTATGAACTTAATTCGCACCCTAATAAAAGTTCCCGATAGGCCCAGGGCCACGTTTTTAACCTGATATTCGGATTTTAGGTATTGTATTGATAACACGGTCAGTGATTTGATTTAAATCTGACATGTAGGAACAAGGCGTCTAGCAGGTTGTGTTTTGGGTTTCTGCAATTAAAGAACATTTCTACTCGGTTAGCAGACGTGGGTTAAATACGCTGCACAGATGCATTTTCATTATTAAACGATCTTGCTGTACATCTCTAGTTAAACACCAACATAATATCACCCAGTCAGGCAGTACTGTTTGCTCTAAATACGAATTGACAATGATCTCTTTATAAAGGTGATCATCCAAATGGTTTACCACAACCTACCTGAAGCTGGAATTAATTAATGTAACTGACATTGCAGGGATATTTAGTTAAAGCACAACAATTCAAAACGTAGTTAATTTTCTTCTGCTTTTCTTAGTCTGTGATGCTGAAATACCATTATGCACGTTCACCGTTCTGACACTTGCACACACAGGGACAGAGTATGTGGAGACGTCGATTCACACCATAGACTTTCTACAAACAGATAGATCACTGCGACTGGGGAAAGAGTTTAATTAAGACTGCCATCTACAGACACATGCAGACGTTACAAGAGCTTTCTTACTTTTTTGGAAAATGTAGAGGTGAGTTTTTATAAATATTACGATGAGTAATATCAGAAAAATGCGTGCATGGAAGATATAGAGACTGTAATTGTGCTATATCTGTCATCTCTATGTATATTTCTTTTTAAGCAGCTGTGCAATGTCTACAGTATTCTTAAAACATCATATGCTACAGTATTCTGACTGTGCTTCACCTCACGTCTTGCGGCGATTTAGCACTAGATGGCAACATTAAACTAGATTACAAGTTTGCTGGACTGATCCAAGGGATCATCGTTTAATAAAATGAAATCAAGTGAAAAAAGTTATTGTCAATTTTCGAAGTGCGAGTAAATACAAACATATTTTAAAACTTTATCTGTCTACATTAAATTTTTGCTCGTAATGTTTCACGGTCTGTCGGTTACAGATAACACAATGAAGGGTTCGTTTGAGGGTTAGGTGAGCGTCCCAACGCCAGACTCTTCCAGCATTTACAGTACTTCTGATTAAACTATACCAAAATACCTGTATACCAGGGGTCTCCAGTACTGGACCCGGAGATCCCCTATCCGGCTGAAAGTCTTATACTTTCAGTTACTGTATAAGTCACCTACATTCGCGTGTTGTGTTTGAAGAGCTGTACGTATTTTTAAATAATACATATATGTTATATACATATATTTAATTAATTTTCTTTATGTATTTTATCACAAATCAACAGTTTATATTACATATTTTAAAAATATACGTACATTTTATATGTTGTCATATATTATTATGAATATGTATATAAGAGCTGTGTTTTTAAAGATCATAGATGATAATCAATATGTATATTGTAAGATTTATTTTTAGAGTTTTATTTTTTGGAAAATAGGCTTTTAATAAGGTGTTTACTTAAGTGAAACCAGCAATGCATGCAATCAATGTACTGTACAGTACCTACCTGTTCTGTGTATGGCTGTGATATGTTTCATTCAAAGCATAATATTCTAATTGCTCTTCAAACTACACTGTTTGGATGATCCGTATTTTTTATTTTGACGACAATGAACGTACTGTACAAATCTAGCACACAATGTCACCCCAGTTTATAATGGGTCGTCTTCCAACTTGATAGCACTAGAATTTGTGATCATAAGCTGATAATACCCAGTTTCTCTGGAAAATTCAGATATGATACAGAAATAGAAGGTTTTACCTGGGATGTAAAAATGTGAACAGGAAATTACGTACGGTATGACATCTTTTCAGAGTCAAACGTCTTCAGTAGACGATTCAGTATATTCAGTGTAAAAACAGCTGAACATTTTTATATCAAACTCCATTTTATGAAATTGCTTTTTTAATGGATCTAGAATGATGCTGATATGTGAAAGCACAGGTTGGAATGGGATAATACAATTTAAACAAAATAAATCATGTGATATAATCATATCTAGAACCTGTTTTATTTTTGGCAGCATAAGGTGACATCTGTCAAGGAATCTACCAAAGAATCAATTCCCATTCTGTGAAACATTGCTTAGTTTCTTATCAACATTGAAAATGTACTGGAGCTTTAGTAATAATGCCCAGAAAGAGATTTCTGTTCTATTGTTAGTTTCATGAAATAATATGATTGTTTTGTAGGCTTGTTAACTCATTTGTTTGAATTAACAAACTATGTGCATTATTGATTCACTAATTCCAGGTAGGTGCTTCACACTGGTGGTGGAGGGGAGTCCCCATTACCTGTAAAGTGCTTCGAGTGGAGTGTCCAGAAAAGCGCTATATAAGTGTAAGCAATTATTATTATTAATTAACCTGCAGCTTTTACTACAGGTAGTGAATACCAGCAAAGGCATATCATAATTGGTTTTGTGAAGTGGAAAAATGCCAGGAACAGTTGAGAGTTAACTCAATTTTAGTGTGGGCACATAGTTGGGCGTTGAAGGGTGGGCTGTGTAAAATGTCCAGGTACAAGAAAGTTCCACTGTCCACAGTCAGCAAGGCCATTTGTCAGTACCAGCGAAAAGGCAAAACAACAGTATCTTCTTGACCAGGAACATTCAAGCCTCTGTAGTCCCCTGAAGAACTGAAGCTATCCATGGAGGAAATGTCATCTCAGTCCCTTTTCAACTATAGCTCACAGAGCTGGGGCATCAATGACTACTATCAAAACACATTTGCATTTGTTAGGTTTTAAATACTCTAAACATGACAAATATTCTAAAGATTTTTTCCTCAGGGTGGAAAGCAAGATAAAAGAAAGTCACCTTGATATTCATAAGTAGTTCAGGTGGGTAGCTGCGTCAGCATGCGTAGGCTGCAAAGGAACAAGTAATAGGTTTATTCCATGCTGAAAAAAAGAAGAAAGAAAACACCTGAAGAAGGCTCCACGGCCGAAACGTTGTGTTTTCTTTCTTCTTTTTTTCAGCATGGAATAAACCTATTACTTGTTCCTTTGATATTCATAAGAAGACATAAGACAACACATTTGACGACTTGATATAAGGAAATTGATCTCTAAGTGTGGAAAGAGCTCTTCTTTATTCCATATGACCATTGATAATGCTGGCACACTGTGACCGAGTATTGAACAGCTGAAGGGCAGCAGCACACTGGTAGATTGAACGGAAGAGTTAAGCAATCATGATCTATAGAACTGCATCAGATTCCTGTTGCAGAGCATGTGCAAGGAGTCTCAGGATCCAGAAGCCTACAGATGTGCTGACTAGGGAGGACACCAACTGTCTCAGGCTCTTCAAGCCACCCACACATGGTCTGACACTAAGAGAGCCTATTCATTTGACTGGAGGATCCTACTATTTTCTATTTTCAGTTATCCTGGAATTTATTATAGTACAAGCTTATTAGTAGCTGTGCAGTATGTTTCATCCCTTTCCAAGCGTGGACAAAGTCAATGGGATGTTACACTAGGACTAAAAACTAAAAGATTATTTCCTACAGCAAGCAGGATCTGTAATAACACCAATAAACTGTTTCAGAATAAAGGCGTTTTATTTTTAAAATAGAGGCTTCTCACATTACATTTTAAACATTTGATCAGTTATGTGTTTTGAAACATGCATAGCAAAGCTTTAAATGTAAAAATGCCAGTTTACTCCACAGACATTTGGAGCACCTCCCTTTGAATACAAGATAAAATAATGAGTTTCAAAAAAGTAAAATTTTAAATACACATTTTAATTAAAATTTGTATAGAAGCTCTATACAAGCCAGTAATCTGATAGCCAGTAAAACACTGTTTCTTGATTCTTGTGCGATTTTGACAATATTTCTCTCGCCTGCATCACAGCTTTTGCAACACCAAATGATTAAGGTATAGGAATACAGAGAGGCTGTAAATCACAAGAAATATATATTTTTTCATTTTAATTCATTCTTTCCCATCACAAAAACTGAAAAACCCACAAAGCTGATGATGAAAAGTGGTCATCCATCTTCTGCACATCCTACTAATCGGAGTCACTGCCACTGGAATGGTGCTGAAAAAGAAGAAAAATATTACTAAGCATGCCTTCTTTTTTCCATCAACATGTACTTGTCTCTCTTCTCCCTCCCTCATGTTAAAGCTCATGTAAAAACATAAAGCAGAGTTACAAAACAGTACAACATTTTACTTCTCCACATGTAATTTTTGTTTACAGTATTTATATCATTATATAAATGCATGACTTCAATGTTTATTGTTGATTCTAGTTGCCCACATCTCTGAAGTAGTCAGCAACAATGAGCTGTCGTCATTATCGTGTTACAAATTGTCAACTGTTGCTGTTAAAAATTACTATACAGTACGGTCTCGAGATTTGAGAGGGTCCAGTGCACAAACCTGTATAGTACATCTCAAATAAGTCCACCCATATACCATTGTATAATATACCACACTATGCATGGTTAACAGATATAAATAACCCTAAGTTATATGTTAAATTAAGGACTAAAGTATTGGCTTTATGTTAATTAAATTAAATTACTTTGATCATTTAAAACAAACAATCATAAACTTAAAGATGAAGGCTAAAACAAACAACATGAATCCCTCCTCTCTGTCCAGCAGATTCCTGCTCTTTCTTTCTCTGCTTTCCAGCTATTTCCCTGCTCAGTGACTAGCTCTCCCCATTGTAATGAAAAGGGCAATAAAACTGTCAGTGAGCCTGTAAAGTCATACAAAAACAAGACCAGATGCGGATACTGGGTAGTGAGTATTTGGGGAAGAGGCAGGGAGAGGCTCACTAACTCACAAGCAAGATTGGACTCATGATCCTAGTCTGTGGTGCAGCTAATATTAGCAACCTTCAGCTCAGTATCATCCCCCTCTGCTCTTCTTTCATGCCAAACCCTGTCAGACGAGCAAATTGTGAATATACAAATTCACAAATGTTGAATTTGAAGATGTCAAGACCCTCCTGTAATTCATTGATTTTTTTATTTTAAATAGTGCTTTTCATCCTGAAGGGGGTGTGATCAGAACTTTGTATGTAGGAGGGGACCCACTTCATCAGCCACTATGCACCAGCAGGTACACTACACAGGAGATCATGTGGAAGAGTAAGGAATCACTTCACCAATTAAACTACGGTGGAGGTTTGGGAAGGCCAGATTGTACAATCCCAGAATTGAATTTAGCTAGGACATTGAAGTAACTGCCTCTACTCTTTTGGAATATACTGTACATAAGGACCTTTAATAACCAAGTAGTCAACATAGCTGTTTAAAATAGAGTGCAACTTCTGTAGCACAATGTACCAGAACATCTTACTGAGGCATAGTTTTTTTCAGAAATTCTGGCCTAGATGGAGGAGTGCCACCTACTCAATACATTTTGTAAAATAGACTTCATCCAAAACAAGTTGTCCTTAACTTGAAAGAGAACTACTATGCAGAAGCACGACTAGAGAAAGTGTAGAAATATATTTATAAGGATCCAGCTATTTGCATTCTTAACTCTAAATCCTACTCTGAATTCACCCACAACCCCAATAAGAAGTAGGATTATTTTCATTGGCCTGCTTGGCACATTAACACCGCATTCATGCTCTGGTGGCACCTGTGTTCTTGGCCAAGGCACAAGAAAAAAAAAGAAGAATTAGAAATATTTACCCCTTTTTTATGGCCGTGACCATGATGATCATGACCATGATGACCATGCTCATGCCCATGCCCATGCCCATGACCATACCCATGCCCATGACCATGACCATGCCCATGCTCATGCCCATGCCCATGCTCATGACCATGCCCATGCCCATGCCCATGCTCATGCCCATGCCCATGCCCATGCCCATGACCGTGATCATGCCCCTGCCTATGGCTGTGCTCATGACCGTGACCATGACCATGAACATAGGGCTGGGGATATACTCCTGGTCCATAAGGATAGGGCTGAGGATATACTCCTGGTGCAGATGGACACAGCTGAGGTTGTGTCCCTGGTCCAGGAGGGAATGGCTGTGTTCCAGGGGTAAATGGTTGTGGTTGTGTCCATGGGCCAGTGGGATATGGCTGTTGGAAGCCTGTAGGATTTGTGCCTCCTACAACACAAACATGAAGACAGTACTGAGAATAACAATAATACCTACAGTACATAAAGAATGCTGTTACTACACTCTGCAGTTTCTAATGCCATGAAGTTATTGACAACAGGGAATGACAAATGTGCTTCTGCAAAGATTGTAGTTGCAGCTTACAGAAAAAGCTAATAACCAAAAGTTATGTACTGAAGCAAAGAGCGTTAAGCTATGTTGTCAGGGCCCTAAATTCCTCCCCAAAATGATTACAATGAATGCATAATTACCGTGAATAATTATTTAAAAGAGTTAGAAAAAACTTACCTGGATTATTGCCCCACATTGTGAAATACTGAATCTACATAAAAGAAAAATGGTTATTGTCTCATATCTTTTAAAAAAAGGAATAATAATCTGATTAAACCAAAGAGTGAAAAACACTGGTAGTGAGGCCGTGGCTTGGGCTGTGTTGACTTTAAGATTGCATAGGACAGTCAGTCTCCATAAGGGTGGTGCTCTTGTCTTTCCCTTTCTGGGGCTTCCCATTGATCAAAGGTCCTGTTTGTGCAGATACCACAGATGTCATTAAATACCACACTACAGTACTGTATGTAGAGGTGACATGTGGTGGGATTGTAGGACATGTCTAACTAGGCCTTAGACCAAGAGATGGGGTGGGGGGGAGGCTCAAAATCAGGGTAAGAATAAACAATACATCATCACACCTGGCCATCTGCATACAGTCTGTTACTCGGTCCTGCGCCATTAGCTCTGCCCACAACCATGACAAAAATCCCAGCAGCACACAGAGACAGGAGAAACTGGAGGATATACAGGTGGTATCACAGCACCCAGGAGAGAATTTGGACACCAGGGGCTCTACAGAGAACAGCGGAGGAAGGCTCCAGCATTCTCTTCTTCTCCCTATACGAAGCTGGACCCAGATAAAAGTAGGGTGGGGGGACTCATAAGCAACTGCATGTCTAAAACTACACAGAGTTTCTTTGCAGTGACAGAAGGGGGGATGCCAGGTCACTGACTGGACTGGTTTTAGAGAACAGAAATGTTGGACTGCACCTTTGGGACATTGGGATTTTGGTAACAGGGGTCCACAGGGGAGCTGTTGTGTTACAGGGGAGATTAGGGGATGCTTTTGTGAGATGGGTAAATTGATAGACTAATGAAATGGACAGTTATGTTGGATGATTGTCTTGTCAGTTCTGTTGGTGCAGTGGTGGTCCTGAGTGTTAAAAAAAGAGACCCTAGGAAGCATAGTCAGCTGCAAAGCCAAATCAATTTTGACATTTAGGCTAAAGCTGACATATATTGGTATGATCAATGCTTTTGAAACTGCAGAAGAGTATCTAGCACACCTACAGTAATTGTCCTTTTCACAGGTTCACACAATACATCACAATGTCTGACAGAGGAAGTTGGCAAAGCTTTTTTTTGTTTCTAAGCCTGATGGAACTATGCCCCAGGCAAAATGTGCTTCCAGGCTTTAACTACTAACTTAACCTGTTTGTTAGGATTCTGTCAAGTGTGTGTGTAAATGATGTGGCTTTCAGATCAGGTTTTGTCACAAGGTCCTTTTAGAAAAGATAATGTGCTAATATAATAGATAATGTTTCCTATGAAGACTAGAGAGGATTATGTCTGAGGCAGATCATAAGAGGAGAAATTCATGACACAAGCACACAGCTATAGGATTGCCCATAGATAAACTGTACTTCACCTTTGTACAGAATTTTTGCTTGTATTTCTGGATGTTGTAATGCATTTTTCCAAACCATAACTAGACATTTTACACAGTTGTTCATTCAAAGTGCCCCATGGATTATGGAACCATTTGATAGTTGTATAATTGTTGATGTTTCCATCATTCCTGTAGTCTTGACATTCACTAAATCACCCAAGAACACATTGGGCCTATGCAAAATTGTGCAAGTTTCTATTCCTGACATTGTGCCACAAAATGCAGTGCCTCAGTGCAGTGCCATGGAATGCCAAACTACTGTGGATTCTGATTAACACAAAACAAGCATAGTCCAAAGTCCATAGTCCATAGATATTATCTCTGTGTAGTTCCCTTATTGTATGAACTGTTCCTAAATGTCACAAAAGAGGCAGAAGTTCCACTTAACAATTTGTTAAGATGTTTACAGTATTTGCTTTGTGTGTTTGCAGCCTTCAATATCCAATTAAAAAGGATTTCGGAAACAGTAGCATTTATCTTTAAAAGAGGTAAAGAGGGGCAGTGACACAAAATACTTAAGGTAACCTTACCTGTTAGTCTACCCACCTCTCCCACCATTTAATAAAACAGGAATAGTAGGAGATGATTGGTTACAATTACACCCTCCCATTTCTAGCCAGAACAGAATTCACATTTTTATATTTTTATATTTTGCTCCAGGCACCAGACATTTTATTCCATAATCACTTTATTCATCACACTCAATACTACCATATCTGAAGAAAAAGCATGTACTGAAAAGTCAGTTAAGGTTGTAACATTAAAAAATGTGCAAGTGATTGTGGTTTGTCAATCAATTCAATTCACATCAAGTTGTATCATACATTGCAGTATATAATCTACAGGATTTCACAGGAGTATAATCTCCTATTTTTTTTTCTGGGCACGGGTACCCAAATGATAACAATATTCTCACAATATTCCCATTACAGATCATTGTTAAACCATGCCTAGTAGCATATCATACAACCTTTTTTTAACTTGTGCCTCCATCGATGTTTTCCATAGCTATATAGCTATAGCTATACTATATTCTAGCAGATTCCTTCTGATTAAAATCAGTCATACAAAATTATTTGTTTTCCTTTAATTAATGTAATGATTACTGGAATACATTCCACAATTCCACTATTCCAATTTCTAAATAAAAATGTTTAAGAAAACAATAACCATATAAGGATTTTAGATGGCAAATTGAATAGCAAGAAAGCCGTACTTACAGGAGGATGGTTGTCAGATACTGATGGTTTCTGTAGAGCAACCAGTTTCAGAAATACCCACCCAGCCCCAGGCTCTCTGCCTTCACCTTCTTAGTGCAGTCACGTGCTGAACTTCAGATGTGGCCGGTTGTTTGCTCAGATACAAACAAAACAGGACTTTTATTTTGCTGTAGCATCATTCTACCAAAAATACGACTGTACACATTTTTCATTCGTTTCAAAAAGCAAGGGTATATTTGTGTTGAATGTTATGCTGATGGCAAACCCCTTATATTGAACTACAATACAGAAAGATTGCTTACTTTTTTCTTCTGACCATGCCTGTACTCAGAGAGACTGCAGATTGCAGAAATGTATTTATTTGCCTATTAGGTAAATAAATTACTCATATTACTGAAGTCCTGTAATGGAGTAAAATGAAAACCCCAGACAAATCCAGTTCATTGCCTCAATGCAATGTACTGTATGTATTGTTATGATGCATTTGCTTATCTTGATGGCAATACTGTATGAAGGGAAGATTGGATGTTTCATTTTGGGCTTTCTCCCTGAGGTTCTGAGGAGTTTTCCCCAGTAAAATCTTTCACCCAAAGTGCACATTCAGCTGCTCAAATTGTACTGTATATGGTCAGTTTCTAACAAGGTTGTAACATTCAGGACATTGCAGGGCATAAAGACAATGGCTGATTCTTACTGCTGCTTTAAAAGAAGTATAACAGGGGATCCTTCAGTCATTGGGCACAAGCAGAGCAGAGGACAAGTACTGTTGTTTCTTTTTGGGCATACATAAAACAGAGGACTGAAGTTTTAAAATCATTCCTGTTTTCCATAGGACACATCAACTTATTTAATTCTGTATTAATCAGAATCAACATGAAATATCCATACAGTATATCCATTTGTTTTCTAGCCACTTTATCCAATAAATGGTTATGGGAAACCAGAGTCTATCCTGGGAAGCAACAGGCACAAGGCAGGATAGATGCTGGATGGGAAGCCAGTCCATAGCAAGGTACACACAAACAAAGACAAACACACACATACACACTCATACCACAGCCAATTTTCCCATATGCAAATTAACCTACCTGTATGTCTCTGGACTGTGGGAGGAAACCGGAGCACCCGGAGGAAGCTCATGTGAACGTGGGGAGAACATACAAACTCCACACAGATAGCACACCTGATCTGGTAGTGAACCCAGGGCCTGAGTGCTGCAAGGCAGCAATACTACACACTGTGCCACCATGCCACCCTATGTACCATATTGACTGCATCACTACAACCTTTAGATGGCAGCAAATGCACATCACAGTTGGTTTTGTGAAGTGGAAAGATGCCGCAAACAGAAGTGACAGAGTCAGTTTCAGTGTGGGCACATTGCTGGACAGTGGAGGGCAGGGAGGGCAGGGTGAAACCAGTGTGAAGTGTCCAGAAACACAGAAGTCCCACAGGCCACAGTCAGCCTAGTGATTTGTCAGAACCGACGATAATGCAATACAAGAATATCTTCCTGGCCTGAGAGACTAGGTCCGCAGTGAGAGCCCGAAAAGACCAAAGCTATGGAGGAAAGTCATCTCAGTCTCTTTTCATCAAGAGGGCGGAGTGATGGCACTGTGGCTAAGGATCTGCACCTGTGGCTGGAACATTGCCAGTTCAAATCCCACAGCCGGCAGAGAAATCCTACTCCGTTGGACCCCTAAGCAAAGCCCTTAACCCCAACTGCTCCAGGGGTGCCATATAAATGGCTGACCCTGTGCTCTGACCCCAAGCTTCTCTCTCCCGGTCTGTATTTCTCCCATAGAGCAAGCTGGGGTATGTGAAAAGACACATTTCTAATGCAAGAAATTGTATGTGGCCAATAAAGTGATCTTATCTCATAGCTCAGAGAGCTGGAGCATCAATAACTACTATCAAAGGACATTTGCATTTGTTAGGTTATAAATATTCTTATCATGATACGCAGGGCAGAAAGAAAGATAACAGAAAGGTGAAGAATACATAAAAAAACTTGGTTAACTGGTTTAAAAAAAACTGATTAACTAGCACCCTTCATCAAAGATAGTCATATTGTAGCATCACATGGAATGCCAGAGGATCTGTTTCTTTGGCTAGAAGGTTGCTGGTTCAGATCCTGCAGCCAGTGTAGAAATCCTACTCTGTTGGGCCCCTGAGCAAAGCCCTTAACCCCAACTGCTCCAGGAGTGCTATATAAATGGCTGACCCTGTGCTCTGACCCCAAGCTTCTTTCTCTCCCGGTCTGTGTGTCTCACGGAGAGCAAGCTGGGGTATGCGAAAAGACAAATTCCTAATGCAAGAAATTGTATGTGGCCAATAAAGTGATCTTATCTTATAAATATTCTTATCATAACACGCAGGGCAGAAAGAAAGATAACAGAAAGGTGAAGAATACATGGAGTAAAAAAAGCTTGGTTTAACTGGTTAAAAAAACTGGTTAACTAGCACCCTTCATCAAAGATACTCAAAGAATAGACAGTCGTCTAGAGGAATATACAGTACAGTACGTACATACTGTACCATCACATGGAATGCCAGAGGATTGCTGTTGCACCCCGAAACTCATTTTGATCTTGAGACATACAGTAGGAACACAACTTCAGGAATGTGATATTAGGAAATTGATCTCTAAGTCTGGAAAGAGCTCCTCTTTATTCCACATAACCATAGATAATTCTGGCACACTGTGACCGAGTATTGAACAGCTGAAGGGCAGCAGCACACTGGTAGATTGAACGGAAGAGTTAAGCAATCATGATCTATAGAACTGCATCAGATTCCTGTTGCAGAGCATGTGCAAGGAGTCTCAGGATCCAGAAGCCTACAGATGTGCTGACTAGGGAGGACACCAACTGTCTCAGGCTCTTCAAGCCACCCACACATGGTCTGACACTAAGAGAGCCTATTCATTTGACTGGAGGATCCTACTATTTTCTATTTTCAGTTATCCTAGAATTTATGATAGTACAAGCTTATTAGTAGCAGTGCAGTATGTTTCATCCCTTTCCAAGCGTGGACAAAGTCAATGGGATGTTACACTAGGGCTAAAAACTAAAATATTATTTCCTACAGCAAGCAGGATCTGTAACACCAACAAACTGTTTCAGAATAAAGGTGTTTTATTTTATTTTTTTATATGAAGAACCTTAAAACATGTTATCAGTTCATCTGTGTGTTTTGAAACATGCTTTGCAAAACATTTAACACAAAAATGCTAGCTTACTCCACATACATTTCAAGATCAACACTCTGAATTAAAGCAAGAGAATTAGTCTTAATAAAGTAAAATTTAAAATAGAAATTTTGAGAAAAAAACAGAATATTCCTCTTAACAAAGTTAGTGACTGTTTTATGTTGCCTAGTGTTCTATGGATCTGTAATTGATCAGTTGTTTTTGCTCTTTACAAGTGTGTAACTGGCTTGCCAGTAACAGTTTCTGAGTTCTTTCAATTTCATCCGTAAGATTTTGACAATTGTTCTGCCACCTGCATCATGTCTTTTGGAACATAAAATCATTAAGATATTAGGAATACAGATAGACTTTAAATCACAAGAAATGATAGTCATTTAAATACAATTTTAATCCATTCCTTTCCATCATAAAAACTGAAAAACCCACAAAGCTAATGATGAAAAATTGTCATCCATCTTCTGCACATCCTTCTAATTGGAGTCACTGCCACTGGAACAGTGCTGAAAAAGAAGGGAAAAACACCAAGCATGATTTTTTTTTATCAGCATGGGGTTCCATACTTTTCTCCCTCCCTGATGTTAAAGAGCATGTAAAACACAAAGCAGAGTTCCAGAACAGTACAACATTTTACTTCTCCACATTGTGCAAATAAATTGTTAAAATGATACTGTCATTTTTGTTTCCAGTATTATGTAAACGTATAATACTTTTTCAATGTTTATTGTTGATTCTAATTGCCCACATAACAGAAGTGGGTGAGGAGCAGTGAACTGTGTTAAAAATTCAAATAATAAATTTACAATTTTATATAGAGCTTTTCACCCTGAAGAGATTGTAAGCAGAAGTTATCATATAGGAGGAAATCCACTTCATCCATTAAAGTGGGTGATATATTGCAGTCATTATGGACCAGCAGGCATGCTGCAGAGGAGATTATGTGGAGAACTGAGGAATTGCTTCACCAATTAAACTAAGGTGGAACTTCAGGAAGGCCAGACTGCATTAGCCTAGAGGGGAATTTAGCCAGGACACTGGGATCCCTGTCCCTACTCTTTTGGAAAGAACTATGAGATCCTTAATAACTTGTTATTAAAGTATGTAGGTAGGATATCTATTTAAATTTTATTAAAAAGACTGCAACGTCTACACCAAAATGTCTGACCTAAATCATTGTACTAGGGCATTGTTTTTGTTTTGTAAATTCTAGTCTAAAGTGATGAGTGCCACCTACTGTGCAGCCTTACTTAATTTCTAGGATATGACAAGATAATGCAGGACATTGGTAAACTTCCAGCCTATCATAGGGAAAAGACAAGCCAAACAGATTTTTGCAGGGCATGGGAGGACAGATAGAATGCATTTTGAGAATGGAGAAAATAAACTTCATCCTTAAGTGCAGAACAAGTTTTTCATTAACTGAAAGAGAATTAATGTGGTGTAGCAACACTAGGGAAAGTGTAGAAATGCAGAATATTTTTGATAATCCTGCTATTTGGTTTTTTTACCAAAATCCTTCTCCAGTTTCACCCACCACCCCAATAAGATGTAAGGATGTTATGACTGGCATGCTTGCAATGCTGTCAAGGTGACATTAACTGAAAGAGAATTCTGTACCAAGAGGAAAAAGAAGAAATAGAAATAATTACCCCTTTTCCATGGCCATGAACATGATGTCCACCACCTCGTCCATGGCCACGATGACCATGACCATGACCGCGCCCATGCCCATGCCCATGCCCATGACCATGCCCATGACCATGCCCATGACCATGCTCATGACCATGCTCATGACCATGCTCATGACCATGCTCATGACCATGCTCATGATGCTTAGTACCACATCCTGGACTCCCCTCATGGTTCCTATGACCACCA